TATGTTAGTGCATTCTAGTGTATAACATAATGGTTTGCTATTTGGATATATTATGATCATACAATATAGTCACAGGTTTTTTTTTTCGTGTGATAAGAACTTTTCAGATCTACTCTCGTAGCAGCTTTCAAATATGTGATCCAGTTTGTTAACAATGGTCACCATGCTGTCATCACACCCCCAGAACTTACATATGTCTTCATTGGAAGCCTGTGCCTGCTGACCACCTTCACCCACTTACCCCCACCCTGCCTCTGGCAACCACTGCTCTGTTCTCTTTAGCTATAAGCTCATCATTTTTAGATTCCACGTATAAGTTTTATTAAAATCTTTATTGTACACTGGTGACCTCTAGCACTTTATTTTTAAAGTGTTTTTTATTGGACTGCATTTTTTTTAAAGACTATTTTTTTTTAAGATTTATTTTTATTTATTTATACAAGCACTGGGTACAGTCAGAAGCGCGGGAGGGTGAGAGAATTCACCAGAGCCAGAGCGGGGAGCAGAGCAGGCAGAAGGACTGAAGCACACTGCTGAGGGGAGCAGCGGGCGGCAGGAGAGGTCTGCGCGCCATGTGGGAACCTCCATTGGCCGGGGAGCAGCCCGGTATCGAACCGGCTCTGCAGAGGCTGCGGGCAGCTTCGCAACCCAGCGCTCAACCGCTGCGCCACGGGGGAGGCCCATACCCCAGTTCTTAATCCATTCATTTGCCTTTGGGTACTTTGGTTGTTTCCACACCTTGTCTATTGTAAATACTGCTGCAGTGAACATGGGAGAACATATAACCCTTCAAATTAGTGTTTTTGCATTCTTTGGGTAGACACTTAGTAGTGGGGTTGCTGGTCAGAAGAGAGATCTATTTTTAAATTTTTGAGAAATCTCCATACTGTTTCCCATAGGGGCTGGGCCAGCCTACCTTCCCACCAACAGTGTACAATGTCCTTTTCTCTCCACGTCCTCACCAACATTTATTGTTTCTGGTCTTTTTGAGATGGGACTTCTCAAAAGTGTGAGGTGATACCTCCTTGTGGTTTTGATTTGCATTTCCCTGATGATGAGTGAAGATGAGTATTTCTCCATGTGTCTCTTGGCCATCTGCGTGTCTTCTTTAGAGGAGTGTGTACTTAGCTCTTCTTCCCATTTTTAAATTAGGTTATTTGTTGTCTTTTTGTTGAGTTGTGTGAGTTCTTTGTAGATCATGGATATCTGTCCCCGGTTGGATGTAGGATGTACAAATATTTTCTCCCACTCAGTTGGGTGTTTTTTTGTTTTTATGATAGGTTTTTTTTCCCTTGCAGAAACATCTTAGTTTGATGTAGTCCCATTCATTTATTTTTTATTTTGTTTCCACTGCTGCTGGAGTTAAATCCCCAAAGTCATCCCCGAAGCCAGTGCCACGCAGTGCTTTGCCTGTTTTCTTCCATGTGCTTTATGGTTTCAGGCCTCCCTGTCGTTGGTCCATATACTTTAGGTAGACCATCTCCACTCCATTCTGTACTTTTTGGGGACCTCTATTATGTAAGATGAGAAAATTAGCATCTCTGAATTGTCCACATTGTTCCTCCTGCTCTCTGCATCCAAGCTTCCATCAAGCTGTCCGATGACTTTTAATTTTGCTTCCAGCAAAAGAAGCAAATGTCTTGACCATATGGGCCTTTCATGCTTTGTCTATAACTAGGTCGTGAGAAGTAAACAGTATTTCAATTATATAAGTACTATTTTCTTTCAATCAAAGACATGAGGTAAAAATCCATAGAGAGAAGGAACTGTAAACCTTGGCCATAGACCTGGACTCTTGAAGAAGACTAGATATCTTCTCTCTTTCCCCATTCCATTAGTTGACAAACCTTACAGGTTTTAATTTGCTTCCAATTTAGACCATTACTTTCCAGGGTTGCTTTTGAGTTTTGTTTTTATTTTTCCATGGGTTTCTAATTATCTATCCTCATTCTTGTTGACAAAAGAAAGAAGTGGCCCTTCTCCATTTCTCTTCATTCATTTAGCTTCTTAATGATACACCTATTGTGTGGCCTATCTGTGCTGGTGGTCTTCCAGATCTGCCGCACAGCTGTCATCCTGCAACTCCTCTCCATTGTGTTCCTGGCCAACTATAGAGTCCTATAATTTCCTCTTTCTTGCATTGTTTTTGGATTCTCCCAGTGTTCCCCTTAATATTTTTTCCAGAAATTGCACAAACTTTCTGAAATCTAACATATCTGAAAATATATTTCATATTTTGAGTAAAGCATCAAATTGAGTAAGCATAGAATCCTAAATTCATGTCATTTCTTCTCTGGGATTAGATCACCCATACTCCATGGTCTTCTAGCATTTGGCATTGTATTGATGAAAAACGTGAATGCCATAATTTTTGTTCCTCTGTAAAATAACCTTTTATTCTGTCTGGAAGCTCCTAAAATCTCACGATCTTTAAGGATCAGAATTTTTATGAAGAGCATGTAGGTGATTTTGCTATGTTTTGTTTTGTATTTCATTTATGCTGCTTGGTAATTGGTAGGATCTTTCAACCTAAAGACTTGTGCCTTGCTTACTTGCCTCAGTTTTCTGCTCTTATGTCTTAGTTTTTCCCCCTCTCTTCCACTTTCTCTTTTCTTCTGTTTTGCAATCTTGTTAGATGCTGAACTCACTGAAACAATCTTCTGTACCCCTTTATCTCATATGTCTCACCTTTTTTAGTCCTTAGTCTACATTCTGGAAAATTCATATTGATTTCAAATTTTAGATCTTCTATTAATTTTTTTCACCAATAATCTGTCCTGTACCCAAGAAACCATGACTTGTCTTCTGATTACTTATGTTTCACATCACCCTAGTCTTCTTGTATACATGCAGTTCCTTTTCAAACCACCATTATTATTACTAATTAGAATTTTTAAAATAAATTTGTATTTTTAAATGAGGTGACATTAGGATCCCTCCCCATCAGGTTGACCACCATGGTGTCCCCACCACTGATTCACCAGAGTCCACAATGCTTCCTTCCCTCTTTCTTCTTCTCCTTCCACTGCCCTCTCTAGATGCTTCAGTTCTATAGTCAGCTTTCAAGTGTTCATTTTTGAGTTTTTCTTTATTTGAAACATAGTTTGGTCTAACTTATTTTTAGAACCCTGGATTGTCTACATTTCCCTTTTTTAAAAATTTCACTCAATTTGGGGACATCCTTGGTGGCACAGGGGTTAAGTCTCAGCACTATCAAACTATCACCAGCCACTGTGACATGAGTTCAATCCCCGGCCAGGGAGCTACCCGCATGGCACAGCGGACCTCTCCTGTCTCGCCCGCTGCTCCCCTCAGCAGTGTATTTCAGTCCATCTACCTGTTCTGTTCCCCACTCTATCTCTGGTGAATCCTCTCACCCCCACATCTCTGGCCTACACCCCAGTTCCTGTGTGCATAAATAAATAAAAATAAGTCTTTAAAAAAATTTTGCTCAGTTTAGATTAGTTTTCTCATGACATTGGATTAATTCAAATATCTATCCCTTATAAGTTCATATTTTTTTAACAAAGGACTTAGCTAATTAACAAAGGGAACCAAAATGAATAAACTTTTATTCCCTCTGCTTTGGGGTTGGAGTGTGCTGACTGAAAGCTCCAAGTTTGTAAGCCAGATAGGCAGCTGGCTTTGGGGTACATGAACAGGATCTGGTGGGTAGGCATGTGGGGACCCTATCAATGCAAAACAAGGAGGGCTTCACTGCAAAGTGATAACCCCTGTATTGAAATCCTTCTCTTCCTCCAGTAGATTGCTCAATTTTATTAGAGAACTAGTTTTTATCTTCAGCTTGGACAAAGCATCCTTGGACCAATTATCCATTTGTTTAAGGCATAAAGATGGAGGACAAGAGAACTCACGATTGTCTATGCAACCTTGAATTTGCTTTCTGAATATTGACTCATAGTCCAGTCCTGCTCTCTGTACCCATCAACTCCAAAATCATAGCTCTTCCTCTGAGTCCCAGCTCTTTTGTCTGCCTTGAAGGACAAAATACTCTGTTTCCTTTTGCTATCATTCACTTTCAGTTTTTTAGGAATTTGTGAAAAACTTCTGATTCTGCTCTCATTCCCATTCTTCATTGTTATAAATTTCTTTCCCTCTGGATATCTTCTCACATTTCACTGGCATCTGGGGAGGAAGGGCAGATAAATATGTGCTTTTTCTTCCATTGAATTAGAAGTCTTTATGTTCATTTTACTTTTCTAAATTTTCTGAAATGAGAATGCATTATTATATTCATAATAAGAAATATAACAACAAAAGCTATTCTTAAAATGAGAGGGATTGAGAAATATTTTCTTGTCGGGTATAAAAGAGAAGACTCTTGTCAGTGTTTCCTACTGCCTGTTCTAGTACTGACCGGGAAACTGCTTTCCCACGGGGCGCCAGGAGGGTAATAAGAAACTGTAGAATTTTTGCTGTAGAGCCCATTATCTCACTAGCTCTCTATTTCTCCAAACTGAATTAGGAATGTTATTGCAGTAGGAGAGTCAAATATAAAGCCTGCTATTAAACAGATGCACACATTAGTGGCTTTGAATGGCAAACAGCTATCAACTTGTTCTTTTCGTGCATTGTTCTTCTGCTGCTCCCACCTCAGGTCACTCATGCATCTTCCGGTAACTGGCAGTGGATGGCCTGGCTCACCTGTCAGGTGGTTTGCTCCCTACTGGCTGGGGCAAGCAGAGTGGATGGGCAGGTATCCCTCACCGTCTCCAGGCTAGCTTGAGCTGTTCACTGACAACAGGTTGCAGTGCTCACAAGCACAGCAAGAGAGGAAGCTGCAGGCGTGAAGACACACAGCATCATGTCCATTGCTCTAGCTGGTCAGAGCAAGTCACTGGGCCAGCACAGACCCACAGAGTGGAAATAAGCTCTGTCTCTTGATGGAAGGAGTTGCAGAGTATCATGGAGACTTTCATTTAATCATTCTGTCTTTTTCCATTCTAACTTTCTGTTTTCTAATTCTGTGTTTTCTTCAGGCTACTGAGGACCCAGTCTCTGGAATGGTTCTACAATAATGTGAAAAGCCGCTTCAAACGCTTTGGCAGTGCCAAGGTCCTGAAGAACCTGTACAGGAAGCACCGGCTAGAGAGCGGAGCCTGCTTTGACATTCTGGGTATGCACACTGTCTGCTGCACTGGGAGCCCTTGGAGGCTCAGCGGGACAGCAGAGGGCCTGGCCTGTACATGGTACACACACATCTGGGACAGAGAAAGTTGCCTAAATATCTGGCTCTGGTGAGGAGGAGAAATATAAGGATGTATTCAACGATTCTGTTAAGTTTTGAGTCTTATGGCTCCAGCATCCCCCACTGGGCTGGATAGGATAGGAGCTTCGAGAACCAAAGAATTTCTGCAACTTGTAGGTGTTTTAATTTTGGATCCCTAGAAACTAGGTTCTTGTTCATCTTCCCTAATGATGAAAACTGAAAAGTCATCCTTAGGGATGCATAGACTAGGACTGCGCTCAGAGGACTCCAAAATTCTATTTTTGCCAGGCCCAGAATTTGATATAAGGGGAAACTTAGAAAAGTGTCAACTTCCTCCCAAGAAGATTGAAGGATGACTTCCACCTACTGTTGTTGTACAGTTAAGACAACCACTGTAATTAGAATGCGCAATTGATGTTCTTTAGTTGTATTAGACCAGCAGAAAGAAATAGTTGTCAGAATAGGAACACCATGGTCTCCCAAAAAGCCACTTTTTTTCTGTCTAGAGGAAGATATATTTTTTAATCACTTGCCGACACAGGTAAGTGCTTTTTATCCATGAGAAAGAGAGAAGCAAAAAAAAAAAAAAAAATCTCATTCCATTTGGCCCTTTTTCCCCATCATTATTGTACATTGTGTTCTCAATAAAGTCTTTGGTCATGTCTTATCTAAAAATATGCCGTCCACTGAGACAAGGAGAAAAATGGGATAGAACATTAAACACAGACTCATTAGGGCCTTTTGTGCCTTTAGACTCTGTGTTTCAAACTACTCAGGAAACCTGTAACTAGGAGAGCTGGACCCAAGGTTTTCATAGATTATTTTTATCTTCTCTTTGCTGATTTTTCTAAAAATTTTTTCTCTAGGAATGGAGGCAAAAAAAAAAAAGAATAAATCTAAAATGATGTTATTAATAGTAGCTTTTCAACTCAAGAAAGTTCCAGAAAAGGATTCACTCACTCATTTGCAGCCCAGCCTTTCTTTCCTCTGTTACTCATTCTGAGTCTGCTATTTTTTTTTTTCCTGTGTCACCAAATTCAGACTGCATAGGTGTTCTCTACTGCTTGATGTGAAATGAAGGGGAAAGCAGCATGTGTGGAGAATACTGGAGGACAAAGCACAATTGCATTTTTTTTTTTCTTTCTCCCGAAGGCCCCACAGATGGAGCAAGTGGGCATGAATCCCAAGTGAGCCAGCCTAGGTTTTGAACTTTTCAGGTGCCATTTTCAATGGAGACTCATTTGCTGGGAACTGTCTGCCGCTGATGCAGCAGATTTGGGTACTGGGGGGCCACCACTTCTTTCATCTGGGCCTCAATCGCAGCTCTTACCGCACTGCATCCAGGTGGTGGGTTGCAAAGCCACTTCCCTGCTGGACCACGTGGAGCCAATGACTGTATTTCCTGAGGGTGGCTCAGTGACTGGCACATCTCATGTCCTCAATATTTTGCCAGTTTGATCCAATCAAAACTACACACTAGAATCAACTAGGGAACTTTAAAAAAAATCCCAGGATCATCTTGCACCCCAGACAATTCCTTCCAGATGTCTGGAGGTATGCCCAGGACAGATATTTTTTAGAGATCCTTGGGTTATTTTTTTTTTTAAGATGTATTTATTTATTTACACAAGCACTGGGTACAGTCAGAAGCGCAGGAGGGTGAGAGAATTCACCAGAGCCAGAGCGGGGAACAGAACAGGCAGACTGATGAAGAAATACACTGCTGAGGGGAGCAGCGGGCACGGCAGGAGAGGTCTGAGCACCATGTGGGACCCTCGCCAGCGGCCAGGGATTGAACCGGTGCTGCAGAGGCTGCGGGCAGCTTCTCAGCCCAGCGCTCAACCACTGTGCCACCAGGGGAGGCCCTCCTTGGGTTATTTTAAGGCACAGTCAAGACCAAGAACCTCAACTACAAGTTTACTATGGTTTGTTAAGCATAATTCTGAATAAGATGTTCCATCTTCAGCTCCATCTAAGGGTACTTATTTCAAAAATGTAAAGTTCAAAATATAATCTGCAGTATCGACACTGTGCAAGGCATGGGCTATGCACCAGAACTCTCAGTGTAAAGCTCCTCTTACCTATGACACATCTCCCCTGCAGGGACTAGTGGGGTTTGCCATAAAAACACTCATTCAGTCCACTGAAAATTAATGATTCACAAAATCTTATGGGTTACCCATCCATGTCCAACTCATAATTACCACTCCTCCCTCTACAGCCATCCCAGGTCAGCCTTCCTCTTCCTCCTGTAACCTTCTCCTGAGGCGACCAGATCAGACATAAGGGGAGACCCATTACTTTGTCAAATAAATCACTTCTCCGCCTCTTGGCTAAGATCAAGTGTACTTTGTCAGATAATCTAAAATTCACTTATTGATGCTGCAAAATTTTATTGAACACCTACTATGTGCCCACTTGGTTTAAGAAGGAAATTAAGGATGATAATATGGGTAAGACCCTGCCATTCTCAGAGCTCACATTAGAAGAGAGAAGTCAGATAAGTAAGTAAATAAAGTTATTGTAAAAATAATAATAAAGACCAATGATAACTAGTGCCTACATGGTTTATCTGATAGATCCAGCACCACATTTTTAACAGTTATTCTAAAGTCACTACATAAAAAGGTAAAAATAGTCATTAACAATATAGTTAATCTCCAGACAACTGAATAATTAATATATGCTTTTATTGAGTATTAGAGAAATAAAATGGGAAAAATAAGCCCCACTGTTATTATCATTCTATATGTTTCTGACATGATTCTTAAAGTCTGTTACGTTGCTTATCTGCAATTTGACTGACAAATGTCTTTTGAAAATGCTGAGTCGTGTGAAATAGGAGGTTCTTCTGACTCACATAATACAGTGACTTGACACCTGACAGCTGCGTCAGTGTTTCCAGTGCTGTTCAGCAGCTTTTTGCCCTTGGGAAAATCACATCATCCTAAATGACCCTGAAGCTCTCACCTGTAAATTGAAAAGGAAACAGGGAGCGGTGTTGCACTAGAAGATTTAAAATCATGCAAGCCCAGAGCTGGTCCCCTGCTCAGCTCAGTGTCCAAAAATGTTTCCTCCTCTATCTTCATACTCCCACCACCTTGCCTTGCCCATTCGCTCAGCAAGTGGTCCCACCCCTTCCTTTGAAGGCAGACAACCTCCACTAGGCAGGGACTTCCTTGTGTGTGCCCCTCTGCTGCTGTCTGCAGCCATCACCCCCTTAAGCTGCAGCAGTGGAGGCACTGTCCCCCCCAAGATAACCCCCCCTTTGTTTTCCCCACCCGATCTCTGTCACCCTCCAGGACTGTCTCAAGGTCACTTGTCCCTTCCTTCTTGCCTATTCAATCTCTCATCTGGTTCCTTCTTTTGATTTGCAAATACCCAAGTCGCTCCTATTTCCTAAACCCTCCCTGGAGGGCAGTCTCCACTTCCTGCCCTCCCGTGAGCTTCCCAGCACAGGGACACTCCAGAGAGCAGGGGCTCTCATGGCCTGTATTTCCTATCCCTCCTGACCCTATTATAAGCCACGTTCTACCCTTCCAAGTTGCTCTGCAGACAGCAGCCTGAGTGCCTTTCTGAATCACAAGCCTGACCAGGGCACCTCTAGAAACTTTACTGGCCTTACATAGCTGTTGACACAAAGATCCAAACACAGGTGTGGTGCTGTGACCTGTGTGGTTGTCTGCACCTCACCTGGGCCTCCTCTCCTTTCTGCCACAGTCCTGACCCTTAACATACTACATAGGTCCTCATGACAGCCCACCCACAGAAGCAAAGGATGTATTTTATGTATTCAAAGTCTGTTGCTTAGTTTGTCTTGGCATCAGCAGCATTTGCCCCCTTGTGAGTTAAGACATGTGGACCCATATTTATTTTCTGGGGTCTATCAAACTCTCTTCAACCAGCAGCCAATTCAATAAAACAAAATTTGAGCTACCTACCATCTAGGTGCTCTCTTAAGCACTAGGGATATAATATGCTGATTTTTTTTTTAAAGACCTTCACTGCTATCCTCAGAGATCTCATTTGATGAACTAACGTGTGAACACAGAGTAAAAATCCCCAGGTTAAAAAGACTAAGCCAACAGCTATTCCCAGCCTTGACCTAAGGCTGGTGTTGTGACTCAACCGAGTGAAGACCAAAGAAGCAGTGAGCCCTAAAAGATCAGATGTGTGGCTTGCCTTGTCTGCTCTGGTCTCTTCTACAGAAGAGAATGGTTACAATGGAATCATCAGCTGAAGCAATTGTTTGGGTTGATGCCATGACTTAAGAAATGTCTCATCCCCATCATGAGGAGACTGCTATTGTTATTCCAGATTTTCCAGTAAGGAGGCCAAGTGTCAGAGAGGTAAAGTAACTTGTTCACAGTCACATGGCTGGTAATTTGCAAGTCCTTGAATCGGCCTCACATCTCTGACTTCATTCTGTTATTCTGTCTTTGACTCCACTTTGCCTCCATGGAAGGTGCTGCAAAAAAGTTGGGGAGCAGGGCAGTATCACTATACCAGAAACCCCTGGATGAGAAGAAAAAATGTGATGGGTCAAACACTGTAGAATTATTATGGAACCCAGCAATTTCCTAAACCTATTTTCAAGGCTAACTTCATCTAAGTGGGTGATGTCCATCTGCCATTTCAGTGACACACATACTAGTGCTCACTAAGGACCTGGGATGATCAGGTCCCTCTGTTTTTCTCACTCTCTCCCCTCTAGGAGGAAGCTCATTTGAGGCAAATCTTGAGAATGAAGAAAGTATTTCCGGAAGTGATTCAACGTTTTATAGGCAGTCAGAAGGTAAGTTTGCTTAAGAGTTACAGCTAATGGATATTAGAAACACCTTCAGAGGAATAGAAACACCTCCAGTGTCTGGGCCTCCCAATTGCTGGTAAGGCCTGAATATAACAACTTGTTGCTATGCAGGGGTCTCTAGGAGTCTGCTTATTGCCATTTATGTGACTCCATCCTCAAAATAGGTGAGTATATACAAGCTGGGGCTTAGAGAACTTAATTTCCTATCTAACCATCGAATGCTTTAGGATCAATTAACCAATCTCCTTCTAGAATTGGAACATAACAATCAGTGTGCTCACTTGTGCAATTCATATTGAGATGTTCTTTCATAGAATGTATTGTATACTGATTAACTTATACGTTTTTATAGCAATATAACAGTCTCCTTAGAACAGAGGTTAAAAGCAAAACAAATGTCTGGCTTCAAGGACAACCTTCCCCAACACTTCGACACCTCTGAAGTGTTGAGTGTTGAGAACCAGGAGGCACTGGTGACTCCCCGGCTCTGCTGCATTCTCTCTGCTCTCTCTTTGGGTGCCTTCTCATGGAACTTCCATCCTCTGTCACCCTCGCTGCCTGAAACTTTTCCAGCCCTACTGCAGACCATCACATCACTTTCATGCGCTCCATCAGTGGCCGAGCCTAAAACACCTAGCCTTGGCCTTAACCCAGAGATGTAGACCCAGGTTTATGATGCTTGACCCTCAGGCTTACGAAGCCACTCAGCACATCCTAAGCAAGACTCTCAGTCACTCATGCCCACCCAGGAAGAGGTGGGCCTGAGCCTCCACCTGAGCCTCCTGTCAGCTATGGTTCTAATCCTGTCTTTTCCTTTCTGTTCTGAGGCTCATGTCCTGAGTGCCTCCTGGCCCACACTCTGCTGGGCTAATAGTAGTTTCAGTGACCATCTCTATCAGTCAGGGTTCTCTAGAGAGACAGAATCAATAGGAAACACACACACACACACACACACTCACACACTTACACACACACGGATTTATTTTAAGGACTAGACTTACAGAATTATGCCACCTGGCAAACCCAAAATTTATCGATTAGGTCAGTAAGCAGGAAACTCAAGTAGAAGTCTATGCTTCGAATTATACCATTAAGGACTTTGAATTGACTGGTTGAGTCCCACCCACTTTATAACAGGTAATCTCTTTTACTTAAGTTGACTATTTGTCATTAGTCACAGCTACAAAATACCTTTATAGCAGTACCTAGAACAGCATTTGACTAAACATCAGGGCATTGTAGTCTAGCCAAGTTGACTCATAAAATTAACCATCCCACCCTCGAACTGCTCTTCTGTACTTCTCTCTCTCTGCCTCTGCCTTCTTATCCTCCTCCACACCCAGAGTTTTTCTCTCTGAAACACTGACAGAGCTCTCACTTTCAGCCAAAGCCTCTTCAGTGTTCTACTTCACCCTCACCCAAAACCATAAACCTGGCAGACAAAGCCATTCTGGGCATAGCTCCAGGCTTTGATTTCTAGGCATCTGTGGAACTTGGGTTCCCTATCACAGGTCCACTGCAAGTCCCGTAGCAGTTACTATGCACCTGAACCCCCAGTGGCTTGGATCACTTGGGAGAGACGTGGAAAACTTTGATTCAGTGAGAGTTAGTGGTGGATCTCTTCTGCGAAAAAATATACTGACGGGAGACACAGTGTCTGTCTCTAGGAAGCACTTAGTAAGATGGTAACTTAAATTTTATAGACTCTACTTATTGAAACACTGGGGACACTGTGCATTAAGTCAGCCACACTCTGCCGTGTGCAGAGCCCTAAACTGGGGTGCTCCATGTACCTGTCATTGCCGGCATGGTAGGGACTCATCAGCTGGTGAGATTGTTTTGACTGCAGTGGGATTAATTTGGAGAATTTATTATGTTTGCCAAATGCCGTGTTCTGTCCGCATTTTGTTTTTAGAAATCTAAGAAGCTTGAATTTAATTTTTTTTAATTGAGGGATTGATTCATTAATGAATCACTGTATTTACACCTTGTCTCATTCTACAGAGAATTTGAGGCAGCTTTCAGGAGATTTGCATGTGCTAAATAATGCGTGACTAGGAGATAATAAATGGAAATAGGGGCTGAGATTAAGCAAAAGGAGACCTAGCATACAACCCTTGTAGACCCACATTCCTGTGCCTGACCTGAACTAGGTTTTGGGGGCAAACTAAGGGATGGATGATTGAGATTCTCACTTTCAAGTAAGAAGCAAAAATCTGGCACTTAGGGGGCACAGGACTCTCCTAAGCACTTCACTCCAAAATAAAGAATTTTTGAGACTTGTGGAAATCCTTTGTCTTGGGGACAGCGCCTCCCATTGGTTGCCTGATGGGGAAAAAAAGGAAATATTCGTTACAAATACAGAACCATTATATTTGTGGTTTCAATCACGTTAGCTTGTGTTTATCTCCCCTTGTGGTTAAAATCAAGGGCTTTGGAAACAGAGTCCTGAATTCAAATCTCACTTTTCTCACTGACGCAGGTATAACCATGGGCAGGTTTAGAACTTATCCCAGAGCCCCTGAAAGATCTGATTGGAAGAGCTTAAAGGAACAGTCATTTTACTTGTCATTCTCTTTCAGAAAGTAGTCTGTGTTCTCTTCCTTGTCTAGGACATAGCATGATGGACACATTGGCTGTCGCCCTACGGGTGGCTGAAGAGGCCATCGAGGAGGCAATTTCCAAAGCAGAAGCCTATGGGGACAGCTTGGTATGGCACCCCTTCCCCTCTGGGGGTCGGGGGGGAGATGTGGGTCAGTGTCGTGGCACCAGGAGCAAGTCCAGGTTGTTCAGAAACCAGCAGTAGCCGTTCTTGACTAGAGCCATGCCCAGCCCCATGCCCAGCCCTCCCCTGCATTTGTGGTCAGGACTCTCAAAGGCCAGGACACCCTCAGCATGGGTCACTCTCTTCCCTCGCTCTGCAGGACAAGCAGAATGAGGCAAGTTACCTGCGGGACCATAAGGAGGAGCTGACGGAGGAACTGGCCACAACAATCCTGCAGAAGGTAGGTGGTTCTTGGCATCCAGATGGCTGCAATTTACCATGCTGGCCAGGACCATGGCTTCTGGTGAGCTGAAGAGCAACCAGGGGCACCTTCACTGCCGAGCACACATTTCCAAGCCTCCTCCCATGTGCCTAGTGCTCTGAGGGTTAATGCAAAGCTGCATTGCTCTGCAACGCCAAACAGAGGAATTGAAATGGTCGTTTGGGGAATTGACTAGTGGGTAAGGAGCCAGAAACTCAACACTGAGCAGGCAGATAACACACTGGCTTCAGGTTTCCTAGGGCGTGTGTGTGTGTGTGTGTGTGTGTGCGCGCGCATGTGCACATGCCCGCGCGTGTGCACCCCTTCTCACACTTCTCAAATACTCTCTTGCTGAAGAAGCTTTGCTGTCCCCTTCCATGTCCTAAGTTGTACCTTACATAGTGTAATAAGTTTGTTACTGCTGAGAAACCTACCACCCCAAACTCTGTCACTTTAAATGAAGATTATTTCTATGTTCCAAAATCAAGTCTTCAACCCCAATGGGATGCCCTGCAATTCAGTTCAGTTCTGGCACTAACTATTGGTACTTGGAGTTAGCACCAACCTTATGTGGTAAGGGCTGACTCCAATGGACTCCCCCACCCAGACACTAAAGGCAAGTCTCAGTTACCCCCCAAGTTAATGCATTTCTGTCCAGCCTACTATAGACTCAGGGATTCCCAGGAACCCCCTTAGGTTGGAGAATTTGCTAGAACAGCTCACAAAACTCAAGAAAGCACCATACTTACAATTACTGGCTTATTACGAAGGGTGGTGATGAAGAGATACAGAGGGCCACAAGATCTCTGGAGGGGTCTACAGTGTCTCCATGCCCCTTTGTGCCCACAGCCTCCCAACACATCCATGCATACACCTCCCATAGCTCCTTGTCTCTAATATTTTATTGAAGTTTCGGGAAGTCAAGATTGATTAAATCACCACCCACCTACTGAACTCAGGGGCCCCTCCCTCGTCTCTCTTTAGAGCCTGGGAGTGGAGCTGCAACTTGCAACCTTCTTCTTCTTTTTTTTATAGAAAGGAGGCAGTTTTATTTACTAATTTATTTTTTATTTTTGCGTGGAAGAACTGGGGTGCAGACCAGAGGTGCCGGGGGTGGGGGGGGGGATAGGGTGGGGAGGGAGTGCAGTGAGAGGATTCACCAGTGATAGATTGAGGAGCAGGCAGGTCTATTGAAATACACTGCTGAGGGGAGCAGCAGCGAGTCAGGAGAGGTCTGCTGCACCATGTGGGTCAGCTCCCTGGCTGGGGATTGAACTTGTGCTGCAGTGGCTACAGTAGCTTCATAGTGCTGAGACTTAACCCCTTGCACCACAAGGGAGGTTCCTCCTTTTCTGTTTTAATCACATAATTGGTTTTTCTGGCAGCCAGCTTCCATCTATCTAATGGCCTCAGAAGTCATATCATTTGCATAACAAGGATTCTGCTATCATTCAAAGAGTCCCAAGCTTGGGGGCAGAAACCAGAATTAAAACCCAACATTTTTTATTCTGCCACAGTTTCCTTCTGGCTCATGCAATGGCACCATCCCAGGCTGTGAGTTGAGATCTACTTCCTGTATTATATTCCCTCTGGGGTCTGCTGAGGGCACATCAACTACGCATAGCCATGATCAAAGCACGGGAGAAGAGGGAGGAGCCAGTGGTATCTACAAGCTCAGCCCTGACACTGTGTTATGACTCCTTCCTCATATGTCAGTGGTCAAAGCAAGGCACATCATCAACTCAAAAGCAAGGGTTGGGAAGTATATTCTCCCTGGAATGTGTGTGGGGGGTGGGGTGGGGTGCAGGCACGTGCCAAAGGACTGCGTGCAGGGAGAATTGAACAAACTCAGTCTTCCCTTTTGGTCACAATAATACATGTCCCTTCCATATGCCATGTACACTCACCCATCCAAAGACCCCAGTGTCTCATCTAACCACAGTTCCCAGTATATCCAACCCAGATTCAGCTCCTTTCAAGCTGGAGTCATATGAACTCCGTGTTCACATGAAACAAGTCATCACATGAAACATGCACATCCAGCATGCAGTTCTGAACCTTGAAAGGGAAACCTACCAGCAGCAAAAATGGGAGGCACAGGAGGTCACTGGTCAATAATGACTCTGAAATCCCTCTGGGCACCTGTGGCCAGATCCCTTCTCTGGAGGTGGGGGATATGCCTCAGTTAGACCCCAGGTCTGTCCCTGGTCAGAGCACCTCAGCTTATTGCTCTCCGTGGCTGTAGACCTTCCTCTTCATCATCCTGTTTGGTCTAAAAATATTTTGAAGAATATGCCCATCTTGGCAACTCATCAGTTTTCTTTGCTACTTGCTGTCTGTGGGAAATTGGGAACCCAGAGAATATTGTGCAATTGTACTCATTAAATCCAAGTGGCTGAGCCCAGTTTAACAAAGGTTATGAATGAGCTAAGCCATCCAAGATGACTCTTGGCATCCGCCCCTTTCTTGGGGGTTCCAGAGGCTTCCTAAAAATGAGAGTCAGAGACTCTGGATTTGAGATCCAGCTCCACTGTTCATGAGCTGAGTGTCCTTAACTGATAAAATAAACTCTCTGTGCCTGTTTCCTCTTCTGTAAAATGGGAAGAGTTGTAATATGTAGGTCTTGGAATTATCTTGAAGATTAAATGAGATTAAGCATATATGGTGCCTAGCATGTGGTAGGCACTTAATAGATAGAAGTTGTTAGCATCATAAAGAAATTATTTATAAGCTATAAAGTGCTGTAGATGTTCGAGGCAATGATGTCTTATCATCAGACAGATCTGAAGTAAGCTGGCATTCTGCTGAAACTAAGGTCTTTCATGGCTAAAAACTATCCCAAGATGGTTCCAGATACTCCACATAACATCCAGAGGCCACCCAGTGACTTTCCTCCTGTGTCACCCACCCTGTCCCCAGATCATAAGGAAACAGAAGAGCAAAATCGAGCAGCTAGTGGAAGAAGAGCCAGCATGGCCACAGCCCTGGAGCTGCAGGACTAAGGTGACTGATGAGACCACATCCTCCCCAGGAGGCCGCCGCACTCACAGTCCCCTCTGGGTAAGTCCCCCTGAGGCCTGCCCCCAACAGCATAGAAATGGGCACACACACCCTTAGCCATCTGGAGTTGACACAGGCAGTATAAAGTTTCCTAAAAAAGGGTGCGAGGAGAAACTGAACAAGAGTATTGAGTGGGTCCAGGAGGGATTAGAGAGGAGAGAGGGAGAACAAACTGGAAATGTACAGAAGGTAATAACAGGAACTGTTGAACTCTGAAGAACATGGAAAAGGGTTTTTACACAGAGACCAGTTTAGAAAAACGAAAGTTGCCCATGGGCATTTTTTTTTTTTTAGATTTATTTATTTATTTATACAAGCACTGGGTAGAGTCAGAAGCATGGGAGGGTGAGAGAATTCACCAGAGTCAGAGCGGAGAGCAGAACAGGCAGACCGAAGAAATACACTGCTGAGGGGAGCAGCGGGCAGCAGGAGAGGTCTGTGCGCCGTGTGGGACCCTCGCCAGTGGCTGGGGATCGAATTGGCGCTGCAGAGGCTATGGGCAGCTTCGCAACCCAGCGCTCAACCACTGCGCCACTGGGAGGCCCTATGGTCATTTTTTAAATGTGAGTTTAGTGAAAAGAAATAGCCTCATGAGGGCCACGTGTTCTCACAACCTGGATCATTCACTTCATGAAGATGAGACGGGGCAGCCGGAGAATGGCCACCAAGACAGTCACATCTGAAATGGCCAGGAAGTCGTAACGCAGATCGGCTTTTGTGTCTTTCTCCCTGAAATTGTTTGCAGTGGCCTTCCCAATGCAGGGTCCAGGCCTGTGTGTGTCTGCAGTGGAGTCGCCAAGCCCTTAATATCCTTGGCTGTCTGTGTAAGTCACCCCACCAGCGGACACAGAATGTGGGGATGTTGGTGGCTGAGGTGCAGTGGAGCTGGGCCTTCTGTTCAGAGGTTCAGCTGAGAGAGGACTTGCTTCTGTTGGCTGTAGGTGCCACAGTCCTAGCAATTTACCACTGGACGGTCAGACCCAAGAAAGGCAATGCCTGTGTTTATTCCACCCCTGCTGAGGTTCTGTGGAATTCACCCTTACAGGAACAAATTGGGCAAAGGGTGTGCCTGCAGTTCCAGAGTGGGCCAGTGGCCTCCCCTGAATGCACTGCCCACCTCCTCCTCAGCACTGGTGCTGGGGACTCGCCAGTGTCTCCTGGCTTTATCAGAGATGGAGCTTCATTGATTTATTGGCAGCACCTGTCCTTGTCCACATGCTGTCAACTTGTTTTACTGCTGCTGTTGTGCACTCGGCACCAAGGAGAACAAAATAAATACAAGTCTCAGGGCCTGCCCTCCAGGACTTTGTTATCTGGTTAGCAGAACAGGAGGGATACGAGATCGAGATTGTCCACAGTCGGGCGCTCCTCTGAAAGGGTGAGACTAGAAATGGAAACCGAAAGCAGAGAAGACGGTGAGGGCACGTGACCTGTCACTCAGATGTTTCACTAACTCAGACCTGCAGCTCAGGCTCAGGCTGCGTGCACACCCTGCTTGGGGGAGATGGGGGTGTTGGGGGGCTCCTGAAATAGTCTCTGCAAACTGAAAGAGTCAAGTTCAGGGAGAGTTCTAGGAATCCCAGACTCAGCCATGAGCCAGGGGTCCAAGACAAGTACAGGGAGCTTGAAGTCTGCTTCTGGCTCTCCTGCGGGTGTGTTTCTGTATTTATCCTTAACAGTGACCTTGAGCAACCAGTTAGTTCCTGTCTATAATGTGGGGGTGATAAGACCTGTCCCAAAGCCTGGCTCTGAGGATTCCTCATGCACTCAACACCATCTTTACCAGGCTTCTGTTTGGATCAAGGTGCTGTGCTAGGTGCTGCTGAGATGGGTTTCCACAGAGACTGTGGACTCCATCATAACCCATAAGCAAGGAAGCCTCCAAGAAACACACAGATACAAACTCTGATAATTGTCAAGAGGAAACACGAGGCTGGAGGGGAGAGAGAAGCTGGGCAGGTAAAGTGTGCTTTCAAAGGAGCAGTCAGGGAGAGCCTGCCCTCAGAGGAGACCTGAAATTAAGGTTTGAAAATGAGGGGCTCGGGAGCAGTGGGAGGAAGAGCAAGTCCACAGAGGGAACAGCGCGCATGGAGGCTCTGAGCAGGAAGGAAATTTTCGTACTCAAGGGGCAGAAAATGTCACATGTCTGGTGACTAAAAGGGGCAGAGTGACAGGTGACTAAAGGGGATGTGGGTGTTGGCCACTTTGCACATAGGTGTCATCCTCCACTAAATGGCAGTTCCTGTTATTACCTTCTGTACATTTCCTCATCAGGGTCATTGTATCCTCAGGGAACCCTTTCAGTGTCGAGCTGAAGCTCACCTCTCTGTGTTTTGGACGGCAGGCTTCAGGCCCAGAGAGCAGCTGACCCCCCAGCTCTGATTCACAGGCCCCCATGAGCCCCCACCAGCCAGGCCCTCAGGGCATCCTCTCCCGCCTCCCACACCCAGCCCTCTCAGCGTCAGCAGAGGCCAACAGCTCCTTCCTGCCCCCCCCCCTGTGTTTCTTCCCCGTACTGAAGAGACCTCACTCCCCACTCTGCCCATGTTTCCTGTTCCAGACAGTTCTCCTGCAATCCCCAGGAGCTAAGAGGCATAGGAGTTGCCCTAGAAAACTTGAGTGATGACAACAATAGCACAGGTGGTCAAACATCTCCAGGAATAACATATGACCTATGCCTTTCCTCTCTATAGACTTCATGGCGCAGGTTGTTTGTACATATTCTTTCCCTGGAGCCACATGAGAGCACCCTGCATTATCCCCGTTTCACAGAGGAATAAACTGAGGACTTCCTAGCTGAGCCACTGATACCACATGGAGGGGCCAGGACTAGAACCCAGGTCCCCTGGCTCCAAGCATTGCCTACTCTCTGCTGTGTTCTACCTCCCAGGGAAGCTCTGGGTCTGAAACAGCTACTCTAGCACCAGTCTCCTTGCTACACATGTGCCAAAAGCTGAGAATGGCTTGCTGCCCCTGGAGACCAGCTGCTGTGTGTCTTTAGAGAGATGGGGCAGGGGTGGTCACCCATGAGTCTTGACAGTGGGCATGACAGTGACTGGAGCTGCAGGCCCCCCTCAGCAGGACAGCAGAGGCTCTAGCCACAAGCTTCCGTGAGGGCCCAGCCCAGAACAGCTCAAAATAAATAGCAGTGAAGCCTCCCTAGGGGCCGCTCCTCAGCTCGCTGGGAAGAGCCCGTCCACCTGGGACACCTGCCCAGGGCTGTTTGCATTGAGGGAGCCGTTTGGAAGCAAAGTAAGAGCCACACAGGATTCCCATTTGGTTTGCTAATGCAAACACTTCTCTGGGTTTTATTTTCTTGTCAGAAAATCTGTCTTACCCCACATCTGCCGCCTGCACAGCAGAATCATTGCTGCAGCTTTGGCAGTGATGTAGACAGAGCTGACTCATTTCTTACCTTTTATCCCGAGGCAAGTAGCAGAATATGATGTATTTCTAGATTTTGATACAGAATAAGGCCCAATGGAAGTCCCTTTTTTTATTCTAAAGTATCTTTTGAGTTTCTGAACTGCAACACTTTGCAAGCTGTCTCCACCTTTCCCTGGGAAAGGAATCCATGTGTACATTAGGGAAGAGGGCCAGAGAGAGAAAAGGGAGAGAAACTTGAGGTTGTAGTTTGGGACAAAAACCCGTGAAGACCATGAATGCACCCTTTGGGAAGCACTCCTCCTGACAGCACTTAGCCACCCAGACCACATGGACTGGCAGGGGACTCAAGCACCTACAGAAAGGACAGGACCATCAGCTGACTCCAATTGCTACATGTAAAAGGTCAGTGTCACGCCTGGCACATAGAAGGTACTCAATAACTATTAATCAAAATAACAGCGCTTATTAAGCTCGACCACCAAGTCAGAGAACATACCTGGCCTCTCAGCCTCGCTGGTTGGGCACACTGAGGCTGGGTGAGTCACGTGCCCAGCACCTGGGTATGGGGCTGGGGGCGGGGGCAGAGGGTTTGAATTGGGTCTACCCGGCTCCAAGTCTACCCTCTCCCAGGCCCTCTTGCTACATGCACATTTGATCAAGGGGGTCCTATTCTGTCATCTCCCTGCGAGCTCTCCCCATACTGCGATTTGCAATATGCAAAAAGCATATTTTTCTCAACAATATCAGAAAGACGTGAAAGCTTTTTCTTCAGCCACACTTGTCTTCATGGGGAACTGTCCTACACAAAGTAGCATGAATCTGGGAATTAAGAGAAGTTCAGGATCCATCTGAGGATTTTGTTCCTTGGAACAGCCCGTGTTTTTCGCCCCTTCCTGATGTTCAGTGGTCATTTCAGTTCTGGTTTTGAGCCGGCTCAGCATTGGACATACGGTGGCACCCACAGACACGGGTCCCTGGCTCACTGGCAGCAGGATGTGTACTTCTGTGGGGATGTGGTCATGGCCTGGACTGGACTCCTTTCTCTCTGGTTCTCAGGATACCTGTGAAGGGAGGAGAATATATTGCTTAAGGTCCCAGCAAAACACTGGGATCCTCACGCTGGTAGATGGCCACTTTCAGCTCCTGGTTTGGCTTAAAAAAAAGCACTGTGATTAGGGCTTTTAAAAAGATCATTATGTGGAGAGAGAGCTTACATATTACCCAGCCCTGGGCAATAAGAATCCATTGATTCCTGGTTAGTTGGATGTTTAAAAAGACTTAGTTGTAGCTGTTCTGGGAACAAGGAAACCAACACATCCCCCTGCATGAACTGGTGAAATAGTTACTCATCCTGTCCCATGTGGCTCCGGCATCCACTCTGGCAGACCAGCAGCACAAGTTAAGCAACAGTGCCACACTGACCAGCCCAGGAAGCTGAGCCACGGACACCCTAGAGCCTTACAGGAGATGACTGGACCCCTCCTTCTGCCCTGGACTCTTTCTACCACTTTTCATGCCTCTTCCTTTCATCCCTGTCTCTGCCCTATTGCCCTCCTCTCTTGCCTTCAGACTTCAATCTGAGGTGACACCCTACTGTACCCCCAGCATGGACACTGGCCTGATTTCCCTTGGCCAGGATCTCTAGCCCGTGACTTCTAGCCAGGCCCACAGCCTGGCTCTCCAGGGGTGGAACTTCCAGGGGACAAGCTGGAGCTTCCTCAGATGCTGCATGCAGCATAGCTGGCCGTACCGCCACCCCTGTGCACAAAACCCATACTCCCTTAAAACACCTAGGCCCCACCCGGGCCTAGTTCCCTGTCATGAAAGACCACATGCAGGAGTTAAGACCTGAGAAGACTGACACTGGTCCTGGCCACCATATTGCACACCTCCGGGAGCCCCCATTCATGGCAATAGGATGCGCATGGCGCCCCCGGGAGTTGTGTAGCATGAGTGACCACAGCTTAGCTGCTGCCGAGGCCTGTGTGGGAAGGGACACGGGTACTTATGCACCCATTTTATAGATGAGGAAACGGAGACTAAAGCTTTAACACAGCCTGCTTAAGGTTCCACGGCTAATGATTGGTGGAGCCAGGAGTTGAATACCTTTTTCCTACTCCCAAGTCCTTGATCTAGCCTCTTCCTCTCCAAAATGAGGTAAGTGGATTCAGTCATCTCTGAGGTCCCTTTTAGCTCAGAGTTTATAGGGCTGTACTAATATGGTGGCCACAGGCCACAGTGACTATTCAAATGTAAATGCCTTGCAATGCAATAAGATGAAAAGTCCTGTTCTTCCAGTGTACCGGCCACATTTCAAATGCTCAGCCGTCCCTGTGGCTGGCGGCTGCTGTCTTGGAGCATGCAGATACAGAGCGTTTCTATCGTCGCGGAAGGTTTACTGCACAGCACTGCTCTAGATGAAGCGATACACGCAGGGCACAAAAGCAGTAGGCGCGGATGCTGGCCAGAGCTGGACACGAACCAGCAGGAGAGTCCCGGTTCTTGGGAGCCTCATGGAAGGTGGCTCACCCATCTTTCCCCCCAGCTCTTCCCACCCTGCTCACTCCTCTGCAACCCCTGCCAAGGCCCCACCCAGGGGTCCCGGCTCAGGGGATCTGGAGTGGACCCCGGACATCTGTGCACAAAACAAAAGCTCCGGTGGTGCCATCAGGCTCCTGTGAGGAGGCCTCCTTCACCCGTAGATCTCGGGAGCCCTGAACCTGGGGGCTTCCCCAGGTGCTTCCTCCTTTTCCCTCAGTTCAGAATTCCAAAAGGGGCTTGACTGCAAAATCTAAACTTAATCCATCCCCTTTAGAACAACATTTCTCATCTGTTTGCTTGAAAGAAAGTTCAGGATGATTCTTCTTTTAATTTCCTCCCTTATTGTGTGGCTCTGTTCCAATAGGGGGTCAGCGCAGTCAGCTTCCAAAGCCTTAACATGCAATATCCTAAAATGCACCCGAGCAAGGGTTATAACTCATATGATGCCTGTCTCTTTGGGTGTGGATATTAAAGGGTATCTCCATAAAAATGTGCGATCCTATTGATAATGACAATGACAACAGGGGCCAGGAATTGACATGTGTCCATGACTAAGACACAGCTCTGACTGTCTCATCTCTTAGCCCTTTCTGTTTTCCTCAGCATTTTCTCTTTGTGATGCTGTCATTTCCTCCCTCACATTCACTGTCTTCTTTGAATGTCTGTAGTATAGAGCAGAAGTATATTTTATTATTCTAATTATTGGATTGACTTTAATAGCTGTGTCTGATCATTAAAATACAAAAGCTACATCTCCGTTGTTTATTCATATGATCACTATTATTGATCCCTCTGCTCCCAAGTGCTTGATACTGAAAACATTCTCTCTCTGTTTGAAGTTGTGGGGTCCTCGAGAGCAAAGACTGCTTTGAAGTTGTGGTCCGCACCTCAGGGAGCCTGCCCTGTTGGTGGTGATGATCACCATAGCAGTCACAGCAATAATATACCCAGAGATAGAAGCAGATGCTGCTGCCCGCACCAGGGATGCAGCTACTACAGCAACAGAAGATATAAAAGAGGTGGCTGATGGTCATATCGCGTTTTCCCCTAAAACTTCAGTCAGCTGGTTTGGGTAGAAGTCCTACTGGGTTGCAGATATGAGCCAGGAGCACGAGTTCCAGGCTTTCCCAGAGGCTGCCAGACACTGCAGCAAGAGGGCCTGGGAGAGGGTGGGCTTGGAGCCGGGCAGACCCAATTCAAACCCTCTGCCCCCACCCCCAGCCCCATACCCAGGCACTAGGCATGTGACTCACCCAGCCTCAGTGTGCCCAACCAGCGGGGCTGAGAGGCCAGGTATGTTCCCTGACTTGGTGGTCGAGCTTAATAAGTGCTGCTATTTTGATTAATATTTATTGAGTACCTTCTACGTACCAGGCGTGACACTAACCTTTTACATGAGGAAACTGAGGCTTTTAAATAGTTGAAACTCTTCTTCCCCCAGATGGTACATAACAAGAGGAGTAGGCATAGACTCACTACCTAATATACCACCCATTAATTAGTGCCTGAACAGTTAAGAGGAGGGACCTGTTGGAAAACTCAGATGCTCAATTCCATCCTTGCAAGGCTGTGCCAGCCGCTGACATTCCTGGCCCAGGCACTCCACCAGCCATCCCAGGACCTCATCAGCCCTGCTCCTTCCCTGCACCCTAGAGACATAAGAGGAATTGAAAAAAGCAGAAATCCTGGGTGGGGAAGGAAGGGTGCACACAGAGGGCCAAGCAAGGGTAGAGAAACAAATTATTCAAGTGAGCCCATCACTTCCCAGGAACCTTAGAGGTTGAACAACCTGTGAGTAAAAGTGTTGTTATGGCGCCATCTGCTGGCATTTTTGTTCATTGCAATGAATTTATGGTCAAACCAGAACTGGAGCTTTTCCACTGGAGACTGTGGGCTAGTCATGTCCTAAGACCTGATCTTTTGGGCCTTTTGTGATTATCAGAGTAGAGTTTTTTTCCTAGTGTGAAACAATGACTTGCCTGAAGTAGAGGCTCCCCCAATTTTTTCATTAAAAATCACAGATCCCATCTTCCCTGTTGTGTCCAGAGAAAGACTTTGCTTCTTGGTCTTGGCTTTTGTAGTTGGGGGAACATTTCTATCTCATGTCATTGACCCTACTCCCATCCTTCAGATACATATATACAACACCATTTGAGCTGAGTCTTCTCCTGAACCAGCACTGGCATACACCACATTCTCCAGCAAAGTGTGCCAGATGCCTTGCACTTGGCTGCTGGGCACTGGTCTGCTATGATGGGGGCATTGGCCTTGGCCCTCAGCTTGCCTCTGTCTTTCCTCAGACTGGGCTCCATGCTTCGGGACAAGGCTGTTGAATACCTTGTCCTTTTCCCCAAATGCCACTCGTGATGCCTAATGCCTGGTCCGAATATACTGAGGCTGGTCCTTGCTTTTCCTCTGTTATTCTCAAACACCTTTGTCCAGTGCATTTATGATGTACAAGGCAAAATTATTTGCACATCTGTCAAGAAATGAAGTCATTTGGCCCAGATGTGGTAGAAGAGGTGTGACTGGATCCCAGGGACAGTTGATCGAGGTCCAGTTCTAGCCACCCCAGGCCCTGCCCGTAGGCTCTCCAAATCAGCTCCCCTCTTATCTCCTGTTCTGTTGTAATTATTGTTGTTGTTGTTGTTACTAGATTATTGCCTTGTTATAAAGGATATAACTCAGGAACAATTAGGTGGAGAGATAGACAAGGCAAGGGGTAGGCGACGGGCATGGAACATCCCTGCCAGGAGCTCTCTCCCCAGATCACTAATGAGACTTATAACATTAATCGCTCAAGTATCTTTTGATCTCCTGAAGCAGAGGAAGACAGTTCCCAGGAGGGGCACATTTCTCACTGGGAGAGAAGCTGTGGGCTCTTGAGGTCTGCCCTCAGACAATCATGATAAAATCATGATAAAATCACAAAGGCACAGCTAGCACCTTAGGGGCAGACACCTTAGGGGGCCCGAGCTCCCCAGTGGCTTCTCCTGTATAGTCAGAGATGCTGCCCAGGGCTTTGCCCTTCCACGCCTTAGGCTCTCAGAATAAAAGAGTAAAATAAAGAACCAGTAAGAGAAGTCTTGCATTGAGTGACAAATTAAAAAAAAAAAAAGGGTCTTTTCTGTTTTATGGGATTCTCTACCACATTTGTGCTTCGAAATATGCAGGATACCATTCAGATATGCTTTGCCAATCATGTGAAATCCCATTTTGGATGCTTCTCCTTAGGGCAGACACACTTCCCTTCTTTAGTTTAGGTCCCAAGTAGGAATTTGCTGCAATAGTTCTAGGTTTGCAGACTGACCCTATGTAGCACTTTCCCTGTGTTGTTCATGCTGCTGAAAGGCCTAGTGCTTCGGGGGAGATGTTTTCCATTTTCGTCACACACAGCGGCCCTAAGAAGTGTTGCCTGGGAGAATGGCTGGTGAAGAGGGAGTTGCTGGAATTGGCTCTGTTGAATTCCATGCTTATCTGGTGCTTCCCGCTAGGCTGGCCCACCTGCCATGGAGTAAACATTACATTCCCGAGCTACTGGTGTGCAGCTTCGCAGCCTCACATGAGGAAAACCAGCCCCTCTTCTCCACTCTGTAGTGTGTACCAGGAAGAAGAAGGCCTCCTCCCAGCACCTGTGCCTCACGAGTGACCCTCCGCCTCTCCTCTTTCCACAGCGGTCCCAGCCTGCCTTCCCACTCGTGGCAGAGGATGCCCTGGAGGCCTCTTGCCTGGAGGCTGCGTCGAGGCAGCCGAGGGAACCGGGCCAGCAGCTCAGGGAGGAGCCCGCATTGCCCAACTGGGACAGCATGGACAGGCCGGACCAGACAAGTAAGCGTTTCCAGCAACCTGTGGTTGGTCTGTGCGTTTTACAACCACTGTTCCCACGTGTCTCTGCACTTCCTCAGGCTGAGCAGGCCCATTTGGCCACAGGCTTCAGCACAGCACACGTATGTAATGTCACTGAGTTTTCTGCCTGGACAGTTTTCCTGCTGAGACTGAGCTATGGTGGGGCCCCCCTGGGCAAGAGTGTTAAAGTCACTCAGCTGCATGGAGCCCCTCCTGCCACCTGTTCTCTGTGGCCTAGGAGACTGTCCTGTGTGGCCAGGATGCTAATCCAACCCATCAGGGCATGGTGGCGTTCAAAAGGATGTGGCCCCCAGCATTGGTCTGTTTTGTTTGTTTTTTTTTTTAAGATTTATTTATTTATACAAGCACTGGGTACAGTCAGAGGTATTGGTGGGGGGGGGGGGGGCGGGTGAGAGGATTCACCAGAGCCAGAGCAGGGAGAACAGGCAGACTGATGAAATACACTGCTGAGGGGAGCAGCGGGCAGCAGGAGAGGTCTGTGCGCCATGTGGGACCCTCCTCCGGTGGCCGGGGAGCAGCCGGGGATCGAACCGGCGCTGCAGAGGATGCGGGCAGCTTCGCAGCCCAGCGCTCAACCACTGTGCCACCGGGGAGGCTCCACTGGTATGTTTTTAAACCAGAAACCTGACATGTTAGTTAAGGCAATACTTGCTGCTTTGATAAGCAAAACAAACACTTAGGTGATTCACATAATAGTTTCACTTCTCATCACACAGCAGTTGCAGTGTTCTGGCTGTGGGGACCTTTAGAGACCCCTTCTGTCTTGGGGCTCTGCCATCCTATGGGGTCTCTGAGCCTTCTGCTGAGTCATTCACATAGGCCAGCAGATGGAGGAAGGGGGTGGAGCACACCCGCTTCCCATCGACTCAGCAGGGAAATGGCACACACCACTTTCCCAGTCCCTGGACAAGAACTTGTCACCCCACCCACCTTGATGTGCAGCCTGGAAGCGTATATCTGGCTGGGCAAACACTTCCCAGCATGGCAAACTCCCCTCTGCCAGGAAAAGGGTAGGCACTTGGATGGGCAGCTGTCCACCCCTGAGGACGGCAGGCTGTCCATCCCAATCCCACCTCTACCTGGGCTAACAGCCACCTCTCCTGAGACTCCTCACTCTCCACAGCACCGGGTCCTTCAGAAAGTTGCCGAGTCATTCATCCTCCCCGATGAAGAGGCTCAAATTAGCTCAGTCACTTTCCCAAAGTCACACCTCAGAAGGCTGTGAGAGGCTTGCAGCCACCTGGGTAGCAGCCAAGCGCCCAGAGGCCAAGTTCAGGCCAACTTGGACCCCAGGACTGTGGGGGGTCAAGATGCTCACCCCACCCCCACCCAGGTCTCTTGTTCCCTCAGCCAGACAGTCCTGATGACAGACACTGGGCACATGTGTCCTCACCGGGAGGAAGTACTCACAGCATTCTCCACTCATGTTCTAGACCAACTGGGCCTCTCTCCTAAACAGCAACATTAGCAGCAAAATATCCATCTTAGAGATATGCTTTCAAAGATTGTGCTGTCATTCCTGCTTTATGAGGGAAAAGATTTATTAATAGTTACATCAACAAGTTCCACTGTTATCTCTGTGCAAAGAATTTAAAAACATGAAATATTTTTTAACATTTAGTCTAAAGATTTTCCAAAAGAGCTAGTTTTCCCATTAACCTTTTGGTACTTCAGTAGAAACCTCAGAAATTCCCTGAGGATGTGAAATTTTCTTAAGGTTTTATATGGCTTGGATTGTGTTTTTTAAGTGCATTTTTTCCTTCCTAGTTAGGCTTCTCTGCCCCTCTGCCTCCTAGCATACCCACGGTCATTCATTCATATTCTTTCTTTCTGTCTCTCTCTCAACCTGGGCTGAAAAGTCCTACAGTGGCTCTCATATTCCACAGACATATGAGAACATCATAGCAGATCTTTAACAAACAATTAACTTTTGAAATCACTTCACAAAGCACAGCCCACTGCGAGCACTGTCTTATTTCTGCCTCCAGCATTGTCACTAAGCACAGTTATTCCCTTGTGCAGAGACTGAGGAGCGCTGAGGGCAAGTGACTTGTCCAGGGTCCCATGGCAAATGTGAGCAGAGCTGGTCTTCAAACCCAAACATCATGACTCCACTTTACAGACTTCTCCAGTTACTGGCTTAGTGTCTCCTCATCATCAGAGCAACCCCCTAAAAAGCATCTCAAAATTTAGACTACAAACTGATAAATTTACAAGTTATTGTGAAAACTTGTACAAGATACCCCATTTCACCGAATAATACCCCCCCCCACGGAATTATAAACATTTCAAATAAATTTGCAAAGGACTTTAGTTTTTCAAAACATGACTTTGTATCTAATTTTCTGTAAAAAAAAAAGTCACCCGTGTGTAATTTACCAGTTGCATATAAACAAGACTTAAACAGCATCACACACAAGAGTTTATACTCTGCCCAAAAATCCATGCGTTTCTCAGCAAGATTTAAAGTAAAATATATAGAACATATGTATGAAACAGCTGACTTTTCTGAAGAAAGCTCAGCGTTTGACATACGAAAATGTCCAGGCCAGCCCCAGAAGTCCTGAAGTATGTCTGACATATTTTGCAGGAAACAGATTATTTCTGGGGGCATTGCTTAGTCTTGGCAGAGCAGAATATGGAGCAGAGAAGGCCCAGAGGTGGAGGTCATCTGGGAAGGTTAATGTGCACTGGGCTATTTTCAGCAGATCTGTTTATGCTTCAGGGGAAGGGTTGATTCTGAGCCTTTTTTTTTTTTTTTAAGATTATTTATTTATACAAGCACTGGGTACTGTCAGAAGGGCAGGAGGGTGAGAGAATTCACCAGAGAGAGAGAGCAGGGTGCAGCAGAACAGGCAGACTGACGAAGTACACTGCTGAGAGGAGCAGCAGGCGTGGCAGGAGAGATTTGCGCCCCATGTGGGACCCTTGCCGAGGGCCAGGGATCGAACCAGCACTGCAGAGGCTGCTGGCAGCTTCTCAACCCAGTGCTCAATTGCTGCGCCACTGGGGAGGCCCGATTCTGAGCCTTTTGATCCACAGTTGTGATCAGCTGTAGCCATGGTGGGCTGAGTATCCCACAGCAGCTACACTCTCAGCGCTTACGGGGTCTCCCCAAAACACGTATTCACTTATAAACCTTGAGTGAGCATCCACTGCACTGCAGCTAGGCAGTGAGATTGGGGAATGGCCTCTGCTCTAGAGCTGCTTCCTGAGAATTGTGGGGAGTCATGAGAGAGCAGGAATCTGGAAAAAGGAGTAGAAGGGGTGGGATCCAGAGGGATGTTCTCAGTGGTGTAGGAGCCTGGGTGCCGCTCTGAGGAGTTCCAACAATGAGGTTTGACAACCAGGGTTTCCGAGGGTTGGGTACTCAGGGAGCTATCTTTGCTTTAGCTGATATGAAAGTTGGCTTTTAGCTTTTCCAGAGGAGCATGGCAATGTGGGATTGTGAGAGACAGAAGAGAGCACCCGGCAATGGGTGAATCCCACGCATCCCATGGTGGGTGTTGGGGACAGGAACAAGGTCACTGTTGTGGCAACAAGCACTGGGCAGGTTCTCTATAGATTCAGGCAGATGGACAGAGGAGAAACCTGGAACCCTTGGTGGCTTATTCAGGCTTTAATGCTCTTTCTACGCCAATTGTTGTGGGGCAAGCCCACAGGCCCGCAAGGCAGGGAGACCCCTGGCAAATCTTTACTCTTTCTCCTGGGCTCCCTCTGGTGTTCTCTGGTGTCCTTGGCTTCTTCTAGCAGCTCCACAGTAGCTGTCTTTGTCTCTGAGTGACTCTGCCCTTACAGCCTCAGCCTCCAGGCGCAGGTGTGCCCACTCACACATGCCCACGCCATATTCCAGGTGTCCACAGTCAGGTGCCCATGCCCCGCGCCCACACTCCCAAGCGCCTTCTGCATTCAAGGCAGCAGGTGATAGCCACAGAGGCTAGCGGCGTAAAAGCCTGACATCTTCATTTACCCTACAGTCACATTTACAGCAGTCCCCCTGAGCCAGGTAGAGCGGTATCACATGGGCCTTCCCTCTCTGATGCCCTCCCATCACTGCAGGAGAAGCTGTAGACAGCGGGGCTCATTGAGAGCCCCACATAAGATCCCAGTCTTGCCCCGAAGCCTGTGGGCAATGTGTTCACTAAAGAGTAGTCTTTACGAGCCCAGAATGGGTTCCAGTAGCGTAGGGTACAGCAATTCTCAGTCTGCCCTTAAGGAGTTCATGGCCAGGCTTGGAGGGCAGAGGACAGAGTAGACAGCCAAGAAAATAAACTATAACATAGTCTGAGTGTTAAAAAAAAGGGGGAGGGGTGGTTGGGGAATGCAGCTTTTTAGCAAAGTCAGAGAACAGAGTAGCAGCTCCTCAAGGAAAGAAGGCCCAAGAGATGCCAACAGGGAGAAACACGTGAGTGGGGTCTCAGAAGACCATCCACGGGGCAGGCCACATGCCTCCGCTCAGCGTGAACACGCTCCACAGCCCAGCCGTGTCTGCTTTGCATCATGTGGCTGTCTCCAGCTCCCTGAGGAAACAGATAAGGATCTGAGGACCTGTGGTTTATTGGAGGTGAGCCCAGGAAACACCCAGAGGGGAGGGAGGAGCCAGGGGAAGGCAGGCAGTAAATGACTCCACTGTACATGACTGGGGCTTGTCGCCACCGGGAAGCTCCCTGGAAAGTCAGTGTAGGCGTCTCCCTTGCCAAACAGGCAAGCAAACGGGGTGCATGCCCACCAGAGCCCAGTGTAGGCCAGTCCAGCTCTCAGGCTGAACACCGCTCCAGCAATAGCTTGCCAAGGGCTCCCCAACCCCTCTGTAGCCAAGAGGGGCCCTGGAGTGAGAGGGGACCTCTGTGCCCAGAGTCAGGAGCTCAAGTCAGATATTAACAGGAAGAGACCAGTGTATTAGTGTGTGCTGTGTGTTCATACCTATCTTATTATTTCTCACATACCACGTCACGGGGCTGTTCTAAGTGAGAGCTACCCAGGGTTGGATAACCTGTGAGCTAGGCCTGGGCAGGTGATGGGATCGTCACCCATCAAAAGGGGGAACTAAGGATCTAAGAGACAAAACCGTGGTTCAAAGTCAAAGAGTCAGAACCTGGGGCTGCTGAGAGCAGCCCCCCACCTTCTCTCTCCCCCCTCCTATACCCAAGCCAGCCTAGGGCATGAGTAGACAATTCTAAGGAGACTGAGGTGACCATCTACCCAGGTGGACATGACACAGGACACAGAACTCCAGGTTTCTCTCTATCTGTGAAGCACTGGGACCCTGTGAGGCCTCCAGGGACTTCCTGGGGACCTTTAAACTCTGCCCCCCATTAGGTGTGCCCTCTTAGACTTCCAAGAGTTGCCTGCTCCCCACAGCACCATGAGTCAGTCCTGGGGAGGTGACACATGGCAACCTCAGCTTGCTCTAGGTGCTAATAGCCCCTCTGGTTTCTTTCTCCCTCCTGCCTGCAGACCTGGCCCCATTTTTTCAGAGCCCAGACGGGAACTGGGTGGCCTTGAAGGATGGTGCTCTGTCCCCCAACCACCTGCTGGCCAAACCTACGAGTGGCACATTTCAGGCCCTGGAGGCGGCCTCCAGCACAGCGTCTGCCTACGATGAGATGGGCTCCGACAGTGAGGAGGACTTCGACTGGAGCGAGGCCTTGAGCACGCTGTGTCCTCCGCCCCCAGGACTGCCCAGGAAACCCCAGCCTCAGCCTACGCAGGCCCAAGGTCTCTCAGGGCTCTTTCCCAACCTCGAGGCCATGTGCTCTGACTCAGAGACCTCCTCAGCAGGCTCATCCCGGGAAGCTGGGCGCCGGGCCAGACTGTCCTGGCTGCAGAGGAAGGCCCCCAGGAGCCCTGCTGCAGAGAAGCTGGGCCTTCAGGGGGAGCTGGATGTGAACTTCAACCCCCAGGCAGCCAGCAGGGAGACCTCGGACAGCAGCGAGCCGGAGGAGGCCCCGCACACCGCAGACTGGCGGGCCAGGAGGTGGAGAAGAAGCCGGGGGTGCTCAGAAGAGACAAACAAGGAATTACCTTCCCCCAGCGCCCATCCACAAGAGCTGGGCACACATCAGGTAATAAGATGGCTAAGTGCAAGCGGGCACATGTGTGCCAATTTCAGTGGGCTGAGTCCTCCTCCAAGCAGCAGTGGCAGAGTCCTGGGCCACAAACCCTGATTCAACTCTGGTTTCAACTGTTAAGTAGCTGGGTGACCTAGATAGGTCATCAACTCTTTGGCACTCCATGTCTCCTTTCTGGAAATGAGAGCCCAGAGGTCAAAGTGTGTTTGCAAAGTGTGGCCCCTCAGACCCAGGGCATTAGCACCATCTGGGAACTGGTTGGAAATGCAGGTTCTCAGGCACTGCCCCAGACCTCCTGAGTCAGAAACTCTGGGGATGGGCCCAGGCACCTTTGTGGTAACAGGCTAACCTGGTTATTCTGCTGTGCACTGAAGTTTGAGGGCCACTGGCTTAGAGTTAAGGTATAGAGTCTAGAGTCAGCCTGCCTGGATTCAGAACCAGCTGTCCTTGGGTAAAGCCTCTCGCTAGGTCTCAGTTCTTTTGTCTACTTCAAAGAATGGTTTTGATGAGTGACTCAGTTAATGTTTATGAAGAACTAAAGGCTCGGTCAATATTATTTCAGTATAATTCAGGGCACAGTTTACGAAGATCCTGTGATTATTTAGTCCACATCACACCATACCCCCTATCAGAATCTTCAGTGACAATGTCCGCATGGTTTAATTTATAAACCCTCTTTGAGAATATAATTACAGACTCTCTCCCTAGAAAAATGCACCTGTACACACATGTGCACATACACACTCTTGCAATTTCAGGTAGCTCATGAGCCCCCAACCAGATTAGTTTCACATTCTTTTTTTTTTTTAAAGATTTTATTTTATTTTATTTATACAAGAATCCTCTCGTGGGAGGGTGAGAGGATTCACCAGAGACAGAGTGGGGGACAGAACAGGCAGACTGACTGAAATATACTGCTGAGGGGAGCAGTGGGCGAGACAAGAGAGGTCTGCTGCGCCATGTGGGACCCTCGCCGGCCAAACAGGATCGAACTGTCACTGCAGAGGCTGTGGTCAGCTTCACAGTGCTGAGCTCAACCGCCTGAGCCACCAGGGGAGGCCCAGTTTCACATTCTCTAAATCATCCCTGTTGGTTCTGAGCCCCCACTCATGCGCCTGTCATGCCAGTGGTGTCCTCACCTCTCCCGGGGAGAAGCCCTGTGCATCACCACAGACTGAATACTAGCCTTTGCCTTCCCAAGCCAATATTTTCTAAATTCAAAAGTGGCGCATGTAGCCTGAAAGTTCAAATGATCTTAATTGGGCAGTGGATTGCGGTGTTGAAACTAAGGGTCCGATGGTGGATTTAGGAACGCTGCCTCTGCCTTCTGTAGGTGTGTTAAGATCAACGATTCTTTATGCTTCTAGAGAAACCACACCAACTTCCTGAACACCACTCCCCCCACCCCTAGTACCCAGCTACCATGCCTTATGTTCTTTGGGTTCTGCCAGCAGCACACCCTGAGTCAGGGATCTGGATGTGGGTATTTTACACGGGAGAAGATCCCAAAAAGCCCAAGAGTGAGAAAGGCCATTCTGGAACACTGTCCCACCAGGGACCCTCTGAGAGGCCATGTGGGACACAGCTCAGAATTCGCCCACCAGGGGGCAGGTGCACACCCAGCCGCCTGTCTCCCATTGAGACTAGGCATGGAATCCACACAAGGCCAGCTTAGCATGGAGGGTGCCGGAGAAGTCCCTCAATGGAGAGTAAGAGAGGCCTAAGTCAGGGGTGGGAAACTATTAGTGGACAGAAACAGCGCCCACAGCTGCTCACAACTAATATAGGCCCAGGGGTACAGGCAGGCCTGTCATCAGCGTCAGCTACAGTGGCCTTCTGTGAATGTGTCAGCCAGATCCCTGCTTCTGGGGCTCCATGAAGATAGAAGTGGTCACAGAGGTCCTCAGGTCAGGGAATGTGGAGTCCTGCCTGACCTGATAATATGATCCCCTAGGTAAAGTCCTTTATTTGGCCCACGCTCTCATTTTCTCATCTGTAAAACAAGCTCATTAAAAATATGTCTCATGATGTTGTTGGGCTCATACACTAGAAATATTAAGTCCTCTTCAACTGTGAATCATCGTTATCTAGCTCAAATGGATCTGTCTTCCAGAAACTGTGGGTGGCTTGCCTCAAGAAATATACTTGAGAGTTGTCTGCATGATTCACTTGCAGGTTTAAAATGCCACGTCTCCACCACAGTTAAGTGGTTGAAGCTTCATATTTATTCTGAGGTGGTTTGGAAATTGTCTTTTGATGTTCATCTTGGCAAGGTATCAATAAGGAGGCAGGACCATCGGAGAGGGGTGGCAGGACCAGTGTTGCTGACTCCCTGGCAGAGTCCTCTTCTTCCCACTAGGTGGCGACGGCGTTGCACTTCAGAGACTTGAGAACATTGACCCCTCTGTTCTGTTTACTTGGGCAGTTCTCTGGTGTGTGTGTGTGTGTGTGTGTGTGTGTGTGTGTGTTTACATATATATATTAAAAAAAACTATTTTTTTACCTGTGTAGGAACAGAAAAGTTCCCCTTTTTCCCTTCTATGAGACTCTGAGACAGTGAGCTAAGAAGGGGTAGGGAGCTGTGGCTTCAAAGATGACAAAGGTCACTGGAAGATGTCCTGCAAATGTTTGGTAAACAGATGTTTGCCCTGTCATGCAGATAAGCCTTTCCTTCTGGTATCTCTGGTAATAGCTCTATTCTGGTACAGGCCCCACCCCCACGTATCAATTATTTCAGGCAGCTAAGGAGAGGCAAAAGGTTTTCCTAAGACTGGTGGGTCTTAATTGCCTTCACCTCAAAACAATTCACATGCCAAAGTAGCACATTTTGGGATGTCATAGTCTGCTCCCCCTGTAACTGTTTGCATATGCAATTATATACATAAATGCATATGGTATAAAAAATATTAACACATGTAGTCTTCCTTGACCACAGCCATTTATCCCTGGCATCTGCCCCAAATGACTACATTCCTGTTTGCTCATTCATATATATATATGTGTGATATATCTATAGTAACATTTAGAAATAGTTTTTTAAATATAGCTGTTCAGTAAAAATCAGCGTCTCTCCATAGTCTTCTGTCTCTTTCTCTCAGCACTAAGTGATAGAGGTGTCAGCCTCACAGATCTACACATAGTACCTGGGGAAAATTGCAGCACTGTGGTCTGGGGTTGTGGTGGTGAGGCAGGGTGGCGGGTGGCATTGGGAACTATCCATCCAGGGTGCAGGAAATAAGGGTGCATTGCCTGTGGAGAATTTTAAAGCAATAATAAATCCAATAAAAGTCAATCTTTTTTTGTCACCTTGCACCATGCATGGACAATTTTAGCCATTTCTGTTGATATAAGACTTTTTGCTGCTGGGACAAGCTGCCGTCCAACCCCCTCTGTTCACCACTGATCATGGTGGGGAGTAGTGAACAATCAATAGCTCCCATCATGGGGGAGATTTAAGATTTCTTTAACATTTGATGTCCAAAACAATACCGCAGAGAATATCATTGTGCAAACCTCTTTGCACAAGTGGAAGTGCTGACTTCAAGCTCATTCGGAGCTTTCATTTTAATGAGTAGTTGCCAGGTTAAGCTCCCAGAACCACATAGCAATTTACATGGCAGAGCACTGTATATGTTTTCTCATGTGTTTGTTAAATCATTGCCAACTTTATATGAGGAAAAAAATACCTTTTAGTTAACAACTTCATAGTAACTATGAGTGTGAGATTTTTCCTCCTGATATTTATAGCTGCTTGCATTTCTTTTCTGTGAAAGGCATGCATTTCTTCTATTATTTTACTATAGTATTTGTCTTTTGAATTGATTTTTAGGAATTGGCTTTATTCTCTATAAATTTTGTTTGATGGTTACATACTGAAAATATCATAATAAAAATATATTATTCTTATCTATAATTTTGCCCTTATTTAAGTATATATTACATGGAAAAAAACTTTCTATACTTTATCAATTTTTTAGTAATAATTTATCAATTATTTCCTTTATTGTTTTACTCTTTAATCTTGTTTTAAAGGGCTTTAAATCCCCCAAGTTATATCAGATATTGTCCTCCTTTTTCTCCTAATATGTTGTAGTTTTGCATCTGCACTTTACTTTTCTGGAAGTATACTCCCTAAGATCTAGCCTCATTTTTTTTAACAAGACATTTGTCACCAAATCATTATTAACTAACTCATTCTTTACCTGCTGCCTTCCAATGCCAGCTTTAATAAATATTTAGTTTCTTTTATTTGCATGAGCTTTGTTCCATTGATCCAGATGTCCCATTCATGTAGAAATTTTATCCTATTTTAATTATTATAATTTTATGATCTATTTTGATTATCTAATAGATGACATTCTCTTCACTATTGTTTTTGTTGATATTTTATAAAGTATCAACTTTTTATGAATCCTTTTCTCATAAAATTTCTTAAAACTGCTCATCTAGTTGCAAAATAAAGCCTCTTTTTAAGTTTTGATTGTATTATACCAGACATATTTATCTATTTGGGAATAATTTTTATCTTTATAATATTGAATCTTCCCATCCAACTATGTCATCCTTATTTCTACTTACTTGTTTTCAGTAACACTTTATAGCTTTAAATAAAACTCTTATATTTTCCTTGTGAAGTAGTTGTTAAATGTTATATATTTTATTGATATTGTGAGCACGATTTTTTTATTTAAACTTTTTTATTTTCTTACATCATCTTTCATTTTTGTACAATATTTAATATCTTCCTTCTGGTGTAGTCCCCATAAATGTCCCACCACAACATCACCTGTGAACCATCACCAGAGTCTCTTGTGCTTTCCCTCCCCTATCTTGGCCCCTCTCCCTCCCCCTCCCAGGATGAGTAGGATAATTTTTAATCTATTATGTGTTTTAACTTTGCTAGTATACAGAACACTATTGATTTTGTTTATATTTTATTACATAAGACCCTCATAGTTTCTCTTATTAATTCTGATAGTCTGTCCAATGATGCT